ATGAATGAAGATCAATTAAAGTATTAAAGTATTCGTCTTTCAACGTCTTTCGGTTTCAGTTCATAAGGTATCCAATTTTCTTGTTTTTGAATCATTCCCATGGCTCTCAATCGTACAGAAACGGTTTGTTGAGTTACTCCCAATAATTCTGCAAGCTCCTCTTGCGTTTGACTCTGATCTTCTTCAAATAATGCCTCTAATTCTTTGTCTTCGAATTTTTTTGGCTGTCCAGAGCGAGGCTTGTCTTCAATTATACAGATCAATTAAAGTATTGTTCATCGCTGCCTAATACTTTTTCCCTCAGGCAATTTTTGAATTCCATCTCGAAAAAATGACTCGTTTTTGGAGGTGATCCAATTTTGAAGCTAATTTTCAATTTCTGCGAAAGAAATGAACCAGTGATTTGTTGCATCCTTCGGAACAATCAGTAATCAGAAGGAGCAATGTCCGGAGAATACGGCGGGTGCGGTAAAACATCTCATTTGAGCGTTTCCAAATATTTTTTTACGACTTTATATGTCTTTGCTCATATTTCGGCCATTTTTTCGCAATGCACGGCTTAAACGAATCAATTATAGTCGATACCGATCGCCCGTAATGGAATCGCCAGGTTTCAGCAGCTCATAGTAAACAAGACCCTTTTGATCCCACCAGATACAGAGCATGATCTTGAATGAACTATGAATGTTCGGCCGTGATGTTGATATCGAGGTCGATGGCAACGATTGATCGGGCTTAGCGTAGTATTTTTTCTTCTTGGGGTTGTCGTAGAATATCTACTTCTCATCTCCAGTTACAATCCGATGCAAAAAATCTTTTCTCTGTTGTCTTTGAATCAGCTATTTGCAAGTGAAAAAATCGTCTTTCAATGTCTCTCGGTTTCAGTTCATAAGGTATCCAATTTTCTTGTTTTTGAATCATTCTTATGGCTCTCAATCGTACAGAAACGGTTTGTTGAGTTACTCCCAATGATTCTGCAAGCTCCTCTTGTGTTTGACTCTGATCTTCTTCAAGTAATGCCTCTAATTCTTTGTCTTCGAATTTTTTTGGCTGTCCAGAGCGAGGCTTGTCTTCAATACTGAATCTCCATCTTGGAAACGTCGAAACCATTTCCTACATGATTTATCAGTTGGAGCAGTATCACCATAAACTTCGACAAGCATTCGATGGACTTCAGCACTTTTCTTCTAATTAAAGCAGAAAATCAAAACCTCCCGCAAATGCTGCTTGGTTAACACAAAATTCGACATTTCAAACACAGTAAAAATCAAGGTTTTTGTATGAAACTCAAAGCGATATAAACTGAATATTATTAGCAGATGTTTAACCTCTCCGCCAAAATCATCTGTCATGTGTATGAATCATTCACAATAGCTGGAGTCATCTTTAGAGAAACGGACCGAACTAATTTGTACTCTCAATATTTAATACATATATATATTTAAAATACGTATTTAAATACATTTTTGTATTTTGTATTTATTGAAATAGTAAATATAAGATTTTAGACACCTCACCGATTTCTATAACTTTTAGGCTGCATTCCGTTTCACGCATGATGCACATGCTGCATTATTTATCTTTGTTATTCATCGAATGTTGCAAGCAAGGATAAATGAAGCACCATACGTGAAACAGAATGCAGCCTTAGCTATGTTATAGAGAAAAGTATCCTGAGTGATCCCCTTCTCAAGAATTAAGTGGGCGACAGCATTAATTTAGGAGATAGTAAACAAAAGTTCTTTAATATTAAGAACGTCAAGTATAATGCGAGATCATCCTGTGTCTTTACGCGAGCCGATGAATTGTGAGCACAGAGATTATCGGATGATTGAGATTACTCAAAAATTGATCGATTCTAAGTAATCTTAATCACAATATTTCTGTTTAGGCTACGTAAACAATAAAAACACTTTAATCCTTTAATCCTTTAATCCTTTGAAGGGCACATTTTTCTTCTAAACAAATTATTGAAATCATAGGTCATCTATGGATTTTCGCTGCTTATGATTCTCATCAGAATTACAAAATTCAAAATTGTTCCAATATGGCGATTATTTTAGGCTAAATTCACGATTTTTTATTCAAATTGTTTGAGACTGGGACATATGAGTTTTTAGGATCGCTGATTATGATTCTGACGTCAAAAAATTACAAAATCCAA